AGAAAGCAAATAATTCACTCTCCACCGAATAGTTATGTATCATAAAGTACCAAAGTGCTGACATATTAAGTTGTATCTACATTATTAAACTACTTGGTGGACGTTAATACTATAATCCATACTGCAGACGTTAAACCTCAACCATAAAGATTAGTAAAGAATTAATATTGTCACATCTAGACTGAAACCTTAACACGGCAGCCATAAATATTTCTGAAGGAGATGAAAAACAATTAGCATAAATACCAAAGAAGGGCAAGAACACCTGTTCTTTTGCAGTGCGATAAGCATTTTATTGTTCTCTATTTAAAATGTAATGACCTGTGTAATTACAGTAATATTACATTGTATTGCAAGGGCTTGGAATGTCACACTTTGAAAAGTGTTGTCAAAACAATTGGAGGGAGGGGAAAAAAAGGACCACCATTAACCCTTCACACTCCAGGGTCTACAGCTTTTGTATTAGGAAGGATTATGTTGTTTGATTCAGTAGATAAAGGAAAACACCCATTTTTCAAGTCAATTAAAGAAAAAAGTTTCTTCCTGAAGGTAAAATCTAGGCAAGGGGGCTACTCTTTACCACAGCTACTTCCAACTCCCGAACTTCAGGACCAAACACAATCTTACTCCTACAACCACACTCAACAAGCAACAATTTAGGGGAAAGGAAGCTGCAACAGCCCTGGTGAAAATAAGAGCATCTGCCAGCAGGGTTTTCTCAAATAACAACGCATCTATTTGCTCACCAAAACCATCAACCACGCTCTAAATTTAGGGGAAAAAATTAAATAAATCACTTCTTCAATTTTCAACCCTGAAAGGAGAACATTCTCCTTAATTATCCTGAACAGGCAGCTGCCCTAGTCCCTCAGCAAGCATAGGTATGGAACTGGCACTCTCAGATGCACTACTTCATTACTATTTGACTAGACCTCTACATAATACACATATATTCCCAAAAGCATTTTACAGAATTCTATCAAAAGCAAGATTAACATGCAAAAAAATCTTGACTCTTAAAAATAAAATTATTCCTATCAAGCTTTATAAAGAGTTTGCAGTATTTAAAGCATTACTGAGATATTACTCATTGTAACCAGATTTTATGATACTTCATAATTCTTCACATTCCTGAAGCAGTAAAGCAGAAATTGCTGCCCACGAATTTGCTCTTGAACAGACAATTACAGGTACATTTGCAAAACACAATAATCCCGTTACACCCCAAAAAAAAAAAAAATCCAGAAAAAAAAAAATAAAAAACCACACCCACAGACCTTTGAGATTCTACAACAGCAAAAAGAAAGGAAAAGCAATTTTGCTACAAATCTGCATCACCTCTTTACCTTGCATGCTCTAAACCGCAACAAATACGGCTTCAGGAAAAGCTACATAAATAAAAACAAAACTCATAATAATGCAGAGCCATCTATACCTTTTCAACTTGTATTTAGAAAAAATTATATAAAAACAAACAAACAAAAAACACCCAAACAGGGCAGAGAGAAAGAGAGAGAGAAATCTAGTTCGTCTGGATTTGGAAACTAGCACAGCAAAGAACTAGGATCCACCTAAAAACCAGTGTGTGACAGAGAACAACTATCCCGAGGAATCTCTATAATATTCTGCTCTCAGGCCTAAATAAACAACTTTAATTTTTCCTGGCTCTAATTAAGTGTCAGGCAAACAAACAAGCATTACAGTATGTGAAAGAATAAGGTTAAGAAGACAGAAAGATGCTGGAGCCTGCACGTGGAAGTAAGGAATTGCCTACTGAGTGTGGAACTATCCTTTCAGAATCCATCTGATAACGCAAGCAGGCCACCTGCTCTACCAACAATAAACCAACCTGTAATCTTTTGTACAGTACCTTTAATTTACACAAACCAAACATTCCTATGGAGGCCTTTTTAACTGTGGGGGAGCAAGGGGAGGAAGGGTACTTCCAGGAAAGCTAACTGCTGAAGGATCCTATATTTATATACCAAAGGTAAAAGGATCTGTAATAAAAGTAATGAGGAAAAAATAATTAACTGTAACTGTTGTAAGAAAAAAAAAAAAACGCTTAAAGAAAAAAACAGCAGAGCTGTGCTTCCTATTAGCCTGCACTTGGAACAGTGGAATGCATTTAAGGTAAAAAGGAAGAAAAAAAAATAATTACACAAAGCTTCACAATTTGTAACAAAGTGATTTGTAACAAAGACTGTTTTGCCATCTGGATTCTGGTGCTTACAGAATTAGGAATTTATCACCATCATCCATATACATGCGGGTGACCGTATTCAAAAGGAGAAATATAATGAATTCATCCCCTGAACTCCCCTCCCAATCATTACAATTGCAAACTGCAGTTACCCCTATGCTAACTGTCCCAGAAACCACCTCCTCGCAAGAGCCTTCCAAGCGACCAAGATAAAACCCTACCCACAGCTCTAAAGATATGCAAAGTCAGAAAACCTTCCTCGCTGCCTCCCCTGTCACTCTGCATTTACTAATCTGCGCCTACTGACTTTTTACTAAGTGAAAACAAGACTGACCCGATGTTTAATATTTTAATGCTTTAAAACACTTGTAGATCTGATACGTTGAAGTTGTCCAAGCCCTGAGTCATTAGTACGGCTTCAACATCTACCAAACAGTAGATCTATTATAGCAAATCGCTATCTCGTGTTACCACAAGGAGGAAAAAAAAAAAAGTGCATAAACACACACGGTGATGGTGGGGACGCCTGAAGTTTAGAAACACCCAGAGGAAACAAAACAGCAACGCTAAACCCATCCGAAGGAATAGGGGAGTATTTTCCAGTTCCAGGGGATTTAGCCATTTTAGCTTAACATCTTTTTAAAACTCTTTTTAAAAAAGGAAAGAAAAGGCGACACTAGAAATCTGAGCAGAGCACACCGTGGGTAACGTTACGAGCGGAGAAACAGCTGGGACTACAACCCACCAGCAGACCCCAAAGTTTCCCGGGACCTTGGGAGCGGAGAGTTGCTCTCCCTGCAGCCACAGGCGTGCAGAGCCCACACCCCCCCAACCCGGGGGGGGAAGAAAAAAAAAAACAACACAGAAAAAAAAAAAAAAAAAACCAAAACAAAACACCCAACAAACAAAAAACCGGAAGCTTTCAGCAAATTGTTTTTCTGCCGGCACACTTCCAGGAGGAATTTTGCTCGACTTGTCCCGATTATTTTGTTGTTTGTTGTTGTTACCAGACCTAAGCCAGGCGATTTCTGTTTCCGGGCTCCGCTTTTCCTCTAACCCCCAAGGTTTTTCCTTTCTTCCCCTCACCTCCCCCCCC